TATTCGGATTGGTTGAAGGTTAATTTGCTCTCGACGATGATCATTAGCATTAGGAATCCGGCGAGGGCGAGGGAGATGTAGAGGAAGTTGTAGAAGACTTTGAGCTCGTTTGGCTGCCGGATTACTTTCATGATCCGAATTGTTCTTAGGAATGCGAAGGATATCGCCGCCGGCAGCCATCCGATGAGGAGGATTAAGGATTTCGTGTCGTTGCCGTAGAAGGCGTGGAAGAGCTGCGTGATTATCGCGCCGCTCAACCCGACGTAGCCTTTTAAAATGCCTGCACAAGATAAGTTCTCACCGATCAAGACTCGAAAACTTTTATTTTAATAAACACATCTAATTAGGTACCAATAAGAAACTGTCTAACAGATTTCAAGTTTAACAAATTCGGTAAGTAAACAATGCGTTTCGCATCACTTGAGGTGAGAGTTTGAGTTTGGTGGGTTTAACTTAAAACGTAAAACTCATGTATGGTCAATTTCTTCTCCATTAATATTGATAATCACTTACCAAGAACGACGCCCCGACTCTCGGGGAAGTTCTTGACGCAGGTAACAAGAGAGCCAGTATTAGCAAAGGATTGAGAATTGGCTCCAACACAAATGTAGAGGCACATTTGCCAAACTTCCGGCGTGGAGATTCTCTTGGTGACGGCGAGCCAGATCATGAAGTAGCCGAAGAAATTCAAGACGGCACCGATGGAGAGCACCACCCACGGCGGTGTGACCTCATTTATAAGGCCGGACAAAACGCCGACGTTTGCTCCCAAATCCTTGAAAAAGCTCAACAAATTGAGCGTCGTTTGGTCGTAGCCAAGAACCGACTTTATGTCGTTGGAGTAGAGGCTGAACATATAAGTGGCACCGGCGGCGGCCATGATCAGAAGGGAAGCGAACACCACGAACCATCGTCCGGTGATGACGTGTACGGCCACGCTCCTCGTGTCCGACCACCCGGAAATACCGCCGCCTCCTCCTACGGCGGTGACCATTTTTAATTTTTTTTTTCCTATTGGGAATATTATGGATTTGTGAAATTGGAGAGAATTGAAGAAGCTGTGGGAAAGTTTATAGACGTTTGAAATTGATGATAAGACTGAGACTCTTTCGTTGACTTGTAGTCTAAACGGAATTCAATAAATAAATAAATTAATTAATTAATTAATTAATGCCACTGTTTTAGCTTCAGAGGCGACGAGGCGGTACCCTTTTTAAATAATATTATTTTGGTTTTTGTTTTTATGTTTAAATATTATTTTATTATTTATTTTAGAACGGAGTCGAGATTCAAACTTACAACTATTTGGTCGGATGTAGTGTCTAGCTATGCACAGGTTGGAACTATTTTAATCTTAATTTTTAATATGTCTATATTTTCAATTTTTATTATTTTAGTTCATATACTTTTGGAATATTTATTTTGATCTCTGTACTTTAAAGAAATCAATCTTGATCTATTCATTTTCATTTTTATCACATTTATATTGATCATAATTTTAACATGACACCTTGCTCACTAACTTTCATAAAATTTAATAATAAATTCATATTAAAAGAATTTTCATTGTGTATAAATTTTGTTTTAAAATTTTGTAAATAGATATCAAAATAGTCACTATTTAAAAGAATATACAATTATAAAAAAACAAATGTTTAAAATTTATAATACTTCAAATAAAAATATTAAAAGTACAATGATTAAAATAAACTGAAAATACAGGTACAAAATAATATTTTAAAATTTTGTTTTTAATATTTACAGTTGAGCGTTCTTTGTAAAAGTAATATTAAAATTTTGAATTCTATAAATGATAACGGTGTTCTAAATATCCCCACTTGTGGAGTGTCGTGTTTTTATTAGGTTTATTATTATTATTATTATTTTTTGGAAGAAAATAAACCTAATATTTATTTATTAGTATATGTTCTAAAACTTATATTGTATATGCACGGAGACCTATATAAATGTTTTAAAAATAATATTATAGTCTACCTTTTTCTATTTAGTATTTAGTACATAAAAATGGAGGATTGAACTCACACTCAATTGATTTGACTAATTATATTTGTTTTGATGTCTACACGATAGATTTGTTTGTTAATTCTACTCCATTTTAATATTTTTCGAATCTATCTAATAAATTTAAAATTTATTAAATACACGGTTGAAAATTAAAAATAAATACAAAATCGGGAAAAAAATTATAAATTTAGGAATTTATAAATTTTTTTAATGTTTATAATCTATTAAATACAAATTTAAAGGTGGTACCAAACTTATAATTTGGTCGAAATAGAAAACTTATCCATTTGAAAAATTGTAAGAGACGACAGAATCTAAGAACAATAAGTGGTTTGGAAAATTTTCGGTTTTTTCTTTCTATTATTATTAATTTTTTTGCTCTTTTTCTTTCTCTCCTACTACTTATGACTGTTGACATTAAACCCAAAGTTTTGAGCCACCGTTTTGGACGCAGAAAAAATCTCTTTCATACCCATATTTCTTATTCTCATTTTCTAACTCCCACTATCCCAAATTAAGAAGTTTATTTTATGACTTTTAAAATAATCAAAACTACTTTAATTTTACTTTATAATTAAAGAAATTTAATATTTTCTATAGTTCTCTCTGCAAAATACGTTTGGGCATTGGTTCGTTTCAAGAGTTGTCAACTTATATTATGTTTTTTCAAATACTATATATCTCCAAAGGAAAAATACTGTTTTTTTTCTTTCAATATCATAAATCATGGAATGACGGGGAATTTTTCATTTTTTGAGAAAAAAAATTCAATGTCGATGTCGAAGAAAATGTCGAGGTCTCAATTTTATGTAAATATCGATAAAATGTCAATGTCGATGTCGATGGATATTTCTGTAAAAGTTAGAAAAATTAAAAAATCGTAAAAAATATTTAAATTAACAAATAAACATTTTCTTATTTCTAAATTAGTTAAAAATAATTAATATTAATATTATATATATATATATATATATATATATATATATTAGTGACATTTTATTGATATTTTTCATATTTTGTCGATTTTCTTGTACTATGATGGAAATGTCGATTCATCCCTTGTCGAACCTATGGAAACATGGATATGTCGATGGATATTTAGAACCATAGACTAAAGTTTTGTTCGTTTTTAAAATATGTCTTGAGATTATAATCAAATTAAGTTTTTGTAGACTTTAAATCTCGATTTCAAATTGTGTTCATAGACTTAGACAAATTCTCATTAGTCAAAGTTTAGTGATAAAACGAAATGACATTTAAACTACTAAAATGACAATTTATAGCATAGCTTAATTTTTCAAGCTACGTGACATCAAAGCAACATACATTATTTAGAGTTTCTTCATTTTTTTTTTACTTTAATGTGGAGAGGGTAATAAGAACATTCCTTTTTTTTTGTTCTTGAACTAATCTTTTTTATTAACCTAACCAATTGAAATTAGAATAGTATGAATTATCCTATTTTAACTTTGCATTTTTTAATATTTGGAGGTCTATATACTCTCTATTTAATTGATCAATTTTTTTTTGTTTATTTATGTTGTTTTATTGATTTAATTATTTTTGTGATTTTAATACAAATAAAATACAAATCAACATTAAAAAATCAAGTAATACAGAGATATGAGCAGATATATATATCGATAACTTGTAGAATATCTAGTTTAATATTAATCGTAAAGTTCAAAATTAAATTGTACTTATATTTTAAATGAATAAAATTTGAAAATTAAAAATTATTAGTATATGCATAACTTTTTAATTTGGTTTTATTCATTTTCACCACTGATATTATCAAAATAATAGTCAATTGTGACGTAGGAAATGTGATTTTCAAATAAAAAGTTCAAAATGAAATAATCATTGAGTTGAAGTTCTTGAAAAGGAAAAATTAAAATATTTTGCTAATTAATTTTCAGTGAAATATATATAAAAGCAAAAAACAAATTGTAAACCATTTTTACATGGTGTATGAATCTAATTAAGAATCAAATCTTCCAAAAATGCTCTGTTTGAACAATTTCAAAAATGGTGAAATGACAAGTCATCTTAATAAAGAACATGATTCCATTGTTTTTCTAGCTATTTCCAAAGAATATAATTTTGCCAAACTCCCAAATTCCCAAAGAATATAATTTTTCTAGCTATCTCATAGAAAATAAAATATTTTGAAAATTTGTAGTGTTGCCTTATTTATTAATAGAGAGTTTGTTGAAAATTTTTGGTACTTCAAAATAAAACTGAATTTCTAAAAATGTCACATGGAGATATAAACTTCAAAAAATAAATTTATTAAAAAACTTTTGTGTTTTAGCTATTTTAAATAAAGTCCATATAACATGGGAAGTTATGAATATTTGAATTAAAAAAATTCCATTTTGGTATCAAATCAACCCAGGTTGGACAATTTTATGTCATTTTTGGAAATAATAAATAAATAACACCATAACAAATTTTCAGGCAAAAGCACAGTGAATTTACAAAGGGTAAGACATTTCAAAAAGAATAGTCATACATCAATTTTTCCATTTAGTCAATTGTTCCAATTCTAAATTTGCCTGATTTAAACATGTTCTAATCTAACTATGAAATATTTTTGTTGAGTTAATTTACTTCAGATGAATTAATTTTTGGAGAACTCGTTAACGAATTCAACGTTTTTTTAATCAAATATTTGGAACATGTTTTTTTTGTTAGTATGACAAATTGGAGATATGAAAGTTTGAACCTCAAAGGACTCTGATCTATACTCATGTTGACAAATATTTTGAATATTTTTAAGTTTTCCAAATACGTTAGAAACTAAAAATAAGAACCCGAGTATAGAAATAAAAAAGATAAGAGATATCTTTATTCGTTTAAAAGTTTTTAAATGAGTTGAAAAGTAAAATGGTATAAACTTAGATTCAAAGTAAATGATAAAAATTTTAATAGTCAATAGTTTGGTATGAATGCATAAACAAAGAGCACTATTTTACCAAAGTCTATAAGCCAATTAAAATAGTGTTCCAAAATACAATGAATCTTATAAATATTTATACTTTCTCTAACAATTTTGGTTTTTTTCACTTGGTTGTCTTTTCAATAATCTACTTTGCTATGAATCAAGTTTTTAAATACAATATATAATTATCCAATCTAATTCAACGGTAATTAGTAGGAGGCAAATGAGTTCGAATCTCCCACCGGAGTTCAAATACAAAACCTCCTGAAGTTGATAGGTTAGAGTAAATTTAATCATTTATATTGACTATCTAACATCGAATTATACACACTAATTTTGCATATTTAACGTGAGATGAAAAAATTATTAACATCAATTCTACATCTTCAAGATGCAGAATCAGACTGAACAGTCAATAGAGCAGAAAAGTACCACATATTTTGGAGTAATATTCAACGTGTCAATTTCACTGATGCAACAATCTCACCTAAAATCAATACGGCACATTACATCATAATACAAATGAAAGTTGATTTTGTGAATTATTTCAACAAAAATATGCAGAAGTGTGACCCACTAATATGCTTGTGGTCAATATGTCACGTCATTAAGAAATTCCATCAATATCACTTATTAAATTCTAATGAAAATTAGATGCTACTTATTATTCTACTTTATTTTTCCAAAAAACGTGGAGGTTGATTTATGATGCCAGAAGATTGATAGCCTGAGAGTACAGAATTCAATTAATTCGGTTCAAACAATGAATTGAAGATATCTTTCAAAAATAAATAAAATTAATTAATTAATTAAAGCAAAAGATAAAGATGATAATACTGTAACAATGTTTTTAATTTTATTTTAGAGTGAATTAGGGGACCACAGCACTATACAACTTGAGTTTGAAATTAAATTTGACAAATTTTCATTGAATTTGGAAAATGTTATAATATGCACATACACTAAAAGACATTATTCATAGGCACGATTCAAACTTTGGGACCTTAATGAAATTCAAACTCTTGAGCCAAAAATATTAAATTTTGAATGACCCATCACCGAATCAATCATTTTTTTTTATTGATTTAACTTCATTGCAGGTTTTGTTTTCCAAATATTCTAGGCTTTTCTCCATTTTAAGTAAAAAAATCTGTACACTTTTTGCATTCTCATTTTTCCAAAAGCATGGCTTTAAAAGAGAGAATCATGAAATAGGAGTAGTAGAAGGCAGAGATGCTGCAAATCGTGTGGAGGAAATAATAGAAAACTAAGTAAAAAATCCCAATTGAGAAGAATCTCAAGTGAATAATTGTGGGCCAAGCCGACCCATTTTTCTGCCATTAAAGCCGCTCTCTCTTTCACGCTAACTGATAGGCCGACAGTTGAGTGAAGCTTCTCTTCAAATTCCACCATTGATGCCCATTTGAGAGGTCAATTTCCAGTCATTTTTACTCCCCCTCTGTGATAGCTCTTTGCTTGCAGAGAAGAGGGGGCAGCTAATTATTTGTATATGCTGCCTCTCCCTTCTACACCTGTCTTAACTAATTTCTTTATTGATTATGAATCAAGAGAGCCTCAAGCCGTCGACCAACCTTCTAATGCCCGCTCGCTCCAAGATTCAGCTCAACATTTGAGTCACAAAATGGTCAACTTAAACATCTGTTCACTCTCCATTCATTGTTCTTTGGAGCATTTGTCTGAAACCCTGAAGAAAAACTTGATACATGAAAGCTAAACGAAACTGCAATAATCTGTCAGGCCATGGTTCTGCAACTAGATCCTAGATATAACTAACAGCACAACACTGAGCATTGAGTACTAGATAAATCCGACGATGTGCTAACGATATACATTCAATAACGGTCAAATGATGATGGCCGCCCAGCTCGGCTAGGGCGATCATAAGGAGCTGGTCTGTTTCTGTAGCTTCTTCCCTCGTCACGTGCTGGACCTCCACTTCCATACTTATCGATGCCACGAGGCCCGCCATCTCTATAATAGACCCTATCTTTGCCATACCCATTTACAGGAAATCCATCTCTATAATAGCCCCTATCTTTGCCATACCCATTTACAGGAAATCGATCAGAGTCGTTATTATACCCACTGCTTCCAAAGCGATCTCCACTGGGTGGGTACCTGCATGTTTGCAGTGTATATAAATAATTAGGAGTGAAGGATTGACTGACTAAGATGCTGCAACGAAATAATAGAGATGTCACGGCATTAATCATTGTAAGAAACGATATTGGATCCCTTCTTCTGCCAATTTGCAATTTCTAGTGATAATTACTTCAAAAACATAAAAAAATTTTAAATTTGAAGACTATGAAAGATAACCACTTTCATCACCAAAGACATTTTTATAGACCGCAATGAATGTCTCAAATCCTTGCAAAATATCTGAGTCAGAGTCAGGTACCTGTCACTAACGTAGCGATCACGACTCGCATACTTGTTATCCCTGCTGCTATCAAAACGATCTCTATCTCCAAAACGCCCACCTTCATAACGATCATCCACATATCGATTATTATCTCCAGCGAAGCGATCCCCACGATCACTATCCCCCAGCCGGGAACGTGCAAGAAATGAATCTCCTCTTCCTCGACCACCACCCACTGAATGACAATCTCTGGCCCAGTGTCCAAGACGCCCGCATTTGAAGCATTCATCTTGCCTCGCAGATTTATCTCCTCCCCCACCCCCATAGCTACCCCCTCTGCCACCAGTTGAGTAGCCTGCCCCCCTGTAACCATGGTCAATATCTTCTCCCATTTTAGGTTCAGCCTTGTTCACTGAAATGATTCGTTCTCCCAATTCCTGTCCATGCATCTCTCTGATTGCATCATCCATTCCCCGGCGATCTGAAAACGTAATAAACCCAAAACCACGACGGCGTCCTGTATTTTTTTCCAACATGATCTACAAGAATGCCAAAGAGGAAGTTTACGCCAAGCAATTGGACAACTAGTAAAACTTAAATCAATCAACTGATTAAATAAGAGCTAGCAAAGTACATCTCATGCTAATAATTTATAAATGTAATAACTTTAAACCTACCTGCCATCAGCATATTTTAACCTAGACTGCGAAGTAATTTGTCTAACATAACAAAAAAAAAAAACTGACATCAAAGTAATGGTGATGAAAACCACCATAATTAAAATAAATAAATAAGGTGGGTCGCAGATTTTCCAACTCCTCAATGTTCACAGATGACAAAATTCAGATGATCTCTACAACCTAACCACCAATTTAAGTTGGCCCAAAACTCATCGGTATTTAAAATCCGAGATGACAGCCATCACAAGTTTTGAGTTTAAAAACATGAGATTAATCTAAGGGCAGTCAAAAATTGAAAGTATTCTCCCACAAAAACAATTGGGACGTCATCAAGAGGTAAAAAAAATCAATACAAATAATTGTCATAATCCACAAGTTGGAGGTATCAAACTCCAAAAAACTAAGAATAGAGGCTAAAACTCCACCTCCATCAAATTATGATTCAGCAAACTAATAGTAATAAATAGAGCATTCATTCGAGGTTTAAACTAATAGTAACTGATAATAACAGCATCAAAATATTTTTAAAATACAACAAAAGTCTGATAACTTACTTTTTTCTTCCATTTATGGAGAACTCATTGCAACATGTTACATAATTCCTTAACAAAACAATAGAACCTGCAGGTCTTTAGCTCTATCTTCTGAAGTGGGAGTGTTTTAGACCTCTACTCCCTTCTATTCAAAAGGAACAATTCCAACAAAAAAATGGATACATGGGCTTCTGTGCAGTCATGCATCCAAAATGGAACTCAAAAGTCAACGTTAACTTGAAAAACCCAGTACAAACACTTCACTGGATATATGTATTTCTCCAACTAAGGGGTTTGTTAATCTCAACAAATAATACATTCAAGGAACTCAAGAAATTTATGGTCATCTTGCTGTCACATGATCAATACCAAAATGTGATGTGATGTGATATAGATGGAATAAGTCCAAAGAAAGATGAATCCTTAAGTAACAGATCTTCCATCATGTTGCTCTAGGAGATGTAAGCAAGGCTCACCACCAGGACACAGTAAAATTTCAAGCAATGGATGCCAACTTATTCTGTGATTGAGCTCCCATCAGTTCGTGGAAAAAGAGGCTGTACTAGAAAACTTGATGATGACGATATCTTGCACGGCGACCATACATAACTAGGTACATATTTAACCCCCTTCTTAGCATTCAATATAATCAATAATTGAGGAGTTCAAACTCTGCTAACACAAATAACTGTCAACAAGTATAAAATGAGGGGAACTAGCACACCATAAAAAAGAAAACAAAATAGCAGGATTCTTGGCTGATCTTGAGGAATAACTTCAAGCGATGGGCAAAGGATGAAAATAAATGAACGTAAAACTACATCAAGGCAGCTCCATAATCTCTCAGGTCGCTCTCAGGTTGCGACAACCTAAATCCCTTGCTCTAGATCACTCATTGAATAAAGTCCCATCCTGCAACACTGTACCTATAGGAACACAAATTTAGCTTCAGATCCAATTGCTCTGCTGCAGTACTATACCCAGCAAATAGAAATTCATAATGTTCGGCGTCATAAAAGAAAACAGAGTCCAGCATCAGAGGCTTTTAAAGCTCTGGCAGGTACAAATGACAAAAATTTCCACAAGGTCCACTGCATGGTGTCGTAACAAACTCAACAGAGAAGAAAACAACTGATCAGAAAGGGCCTCCAAACTGAAATTTACAATTCAGCTCCTCTTAAATTGACATCATACAATGGGGAAAACATGTCAAACTAAAGACTGCAGATGCAGTTTGGCCAATTCATCGGAAAATGTCTGAACTGCTAAGCCTGCCATCGCTAGTCCAATTTCTAGCCACATTAACTGCTAAACAGAAACCAGCACGGACAACTTTCCAATCATGCCTGAAAAAGTAGGGAACTCTGACTTCATCCCAGCAAAATGAAAATCAAGAATGCGATGTCCACTCAAAAGCATGAAATGGTTATTGATCTCCAAATCTGTATTTTGCACACTATCATAAATCTTGGCCAAAGGATTGCACCACTTTAATGTTTTCATCATCATAGAATCAAGCTGACAATTCTCAAACACCAGTGTGAAACTAGCAAATGAGAAAACCAGCTATCTCTCACTTTGATAATAATTACAGTAAGGGATATGAGACCAAGAAAACAAAACATCAAAGCAGCCAGTACTAAGAAACCACCTTCAGACGACAAATCTTTCCATACCAATAACAGATGGCTTCTGAAAATTTTCTGAGATTAGATGACTAAGCAAACCAATTATCTGATTCGATAGAGTAAATTTAGCCCAGACCTTCTGCCCCATATATCATCTCAATTCTCATATAACCACATAACCTTCATCATTAGATTTTAGTCACACCATTGGATAGGGTCAGCCAAGGATAAGATATAGTTTTTTATTTCATCCAGAGAAAGATAAAATCGTCCAAGAAAATACTAAAACATTTATTGGTCAGATCCTGAAACATTTTAGTCACTTCAGTTTCCTCTTCAAAAGCATCAAGGAACCGAAAAACAAGAAAGGTCTGCTCAAGCAGGTTATCAGCACACGACTTGTTAATAGTTCCTCTGATTTTAAGTCATTTATCTGTTGCAAAACAATGACAAATTCTTTTATCCCACAGAACCAACTAGTAGCTGGATTCGCATATTAAAATCCTACCAAACACCAATCAGCTAGAGCACAAATTGAGTCGGTGGCCAACCATATCCAAATTTCCAGATGGTAGCACTTTTCTTAACCAGCAGATCTAAATCAGCTAATACTTAAGAACATACAACACTATGACCTTCAGCATCTTGATGTATTCAACTTTACATGAATAGTGAAACCGCTTCCCAAAAAGTTCATAAACAGCATCCTCATTCGCATGGGGAAACAAAAAAAACAACATCAGAAAGAGAAGAGGTCGGAGAGAAATTAAAGGTGCCATGAACAATGCTGGAAAAAAAAAAGAATTAGAAAAAGTAAATCAAGCGACTAATTTCTGGTGTTTTGACATGTAACCATCAGAGGGAAGGGATAGAAATTCAGAAATTACGTTCTCCATATGAGCAATGACACAGCAGGATAATACCCAGTTTACAGTTTACAGTCTCTTCTATTTCCTTCGCGTACAATAAATAAAATGAATTATTAATTCCGACATGTTCAGTTAAGGCGGAGTTCAATCCCGTTTCAGACATACAGATCAGAGCAGAAATCAACAAAAATATTTTTTTAAAAAAAATGTAACCTGAGAATCGATAATTTTGCCGAAGCGACTGAAGGCATTCTCGAGCTGACGCTCCGTGATGTCCCACGATAACCCTCCCACAAATATTCGGTACTCTTCTCTCCCAGCCATATCAATCTCCGCCTTTTAGAAAACTCCTCCTGCACAAAAAAAAAAACCAGAATAATTGGGAAATCGAAGAAAAATATTAGACAAAAATCGACGAAAACATACGAACATCCAGCGTTTCGAAACTCAAAGAATAATCAACACTGACAATTTGAAGAAAACGGTGAAAGCACATAAAGGTATTGGAGAAATACCTGGTTCCTGCGGTGTAAAGTGCGAAAATTCTGATAGAACAGAAGCAATCCTCGCTCGTTTCTAGAGGTACCAGAAGAACCCTAGAAAAGAAGGGAATTTGGAAGATGGACGCGATATTTATTTTTCTTTGAAAGTACAATTAAAATCCTTGAAAAAATAATAGGTATATAAATATATTTACTACGAATTTTTATATATTTCTTTTCTGTTTAAATTTAGACATATTTAAAACCGATTTTATTTTTTTATTTTTTTATTAGAAGTTTAATTCATTTACTCTCTTTTTTAGTTTTTTAGTTAATAAATTTTAAACTTATTTTGAGAGAGAATTACAGGTAAAGTTTCATGTATTCCTAATTCCTACGTGTAAAAAAAAAAAAAGTCGAATATTCCGAAAGTTCAAAAACACCACATATACCAATTTATTATTTGATGAATAAAAATTCATATTATATTTTAAATATTGAGATTCGAAATTTTATAGTTTATATATTTTTTGAAGTCTAAATTCTTCATTATCATAACCAATCCAAGCACAGTCCAATAAATAAGATACCAATTACTTTTTTTTTTTAAGAAAATTCAATATTCTACCGAGTTGAATGTAAAAAATTTTAAATATATTTTGATACTCTCATCTTAAAAAAATAATTGAATATCATAATATTTGAAGATATTAAATCTACGAGATCATGGTTGGTTAAAACATATTAGGCCATCATCAACTACACCTTTGGTCAGGTGAGATGATAACATTACAACGACCAAAAATATAGAGGTTCAAATTCTTATCCCACGTATCGTTGAACTAAGAAAAAGTGAGATGATAACACTACAATTTCAACTAAGGATGTGTGCGGTTCGGTGGACAAAATTGAAAACCGAACCACGATATATTCAACTTGTCACACAGACAAACGAAAAAGGGATCAAAACCAAACTGAACCAGTTACAGTAGCTCAGAGATGGGCAAAGCAAAGAGAAGCTAAGAGAAATGAAATGGAGAAGATTTGATAATAAAAAGAAAAAGGAATTGAAATTTGTGAATAAACCTATTGATTAGAACTTGAACTGCCAATCTTAAATGTTACTAATAATATCAACAAAGTTGTATCCTTTTCCATGATGGAGCTCTCATTTACACCCTCTGCCTTAGTTTCCTTTTCTATTCTACCAGACTGTACAGTTTCAAACACACCTATTTCTGTAAAATCAACCTATGTATCAAACTCTTTCGTTAAGTTTTACCATCCCATCAGTATATTTCTGACGCCCTTTTCAATCTCGTTCTCTTGCACCGAACCGATGTCGCCTTCGTCTAGCAAGATTCTATAAACTTCCCATTCCCGCCCGCGGATCATGTGCCTCCCTATCTCCACCTAAGAACATAAAATTTTTTTCAGTTAGCACAGTAAGAACGGTGTCGAGCTTTGGGTACCAGCAAGAATGTAAAACGCGACCAGAGTTGGATGATGAAAAGGTACCGAAAATATGTTCGTGTTGAGTTGTTTGAGTGCCAGAGTAATGTCGTGGAAGACGAGGGGACGGCCACGGCCAGATAACTCTACAGGGTTGGCTACGAGAAGCTCGGTGTCGGGACCCCTGCTTACCACGGCGACTCGAAGAGGGCGGGTGAGCTCCATTCTTAGACGGGAACATAAAGCGTTTTGCTTGTTTGGGTCGACTATCTTACTGCCATCTGATTGCAATGTGAATAATTCAACATCACATTTCCCTTTTGAATTGGTATAGAACCGTCCATAAGAAACCTGACCATTAAACAGTCAAAACTATAAGTGAAGTTTGTGATCGATTGCTCGGACACAAAGGGGAATGAATATTTAAAGTAATGAAACTTTCGCGTCTTGTAGTTTACCTGAACGTTGTAGTCCTTCAAAGTTCTCATGATATCATAGACAAGACCTTTGTGGTCCAAACAAAGAAGTTGAACAATCGTGTGAGAACGACTGATCGTGTTGTCCATTTCAACAACGACTGAGTTTGAGGGAAGAGATCTGTTGGGCGGTTCATGTGGCAGCTCCAAACTGAACAATTCTTCGGCAATGGAGGAAGGTAGATACGGTGAACCTTGCAAACATGCAGTAAATTCCACGCCAGCCAACTCGATCTCGCAACTCATTAGGACATCTGCCAAGATGGTTTTCAAATGGTGGACAGTCTCCTCCTGTCTCTTTCTCGTGTGAAGAAGTTCTCTGATTACAAGAATTTTTACAAACGGTAAGAGTTGTTCAAACAAGGGCTCTAATAGGATATAAAAAGTTTAGCTCAAGAAATGTGCTAGATATTGAGAAATTCATATAGCTACTGAGAAAAGAATCGAGTGCGCTGAGGGGTTTAAGAATCAAGACATAAGCCACACTGTGCCATGTGCCATGAAGCCTAACACATGCCTCGGTGCACCTTTCAGAAACGGGATCACACAATAACATTCAAGCAATCTATTTGCAACAACTACCACTTGTAATGTTAATGTTAACACTGCATCAGAAAGTTAAATCATGTGCTAGCTTCAGTAAACCCAATACGTCGACCAACAAGAGAAATTTCAAATATAAACACTACAAATTCCAGATTCTCAATTCATGATTCTTTACATATTCAAATGATATTTTATAGCTTGTGCACAGAGTACCACGATATCTTGAATGACGAACCTTGTATCGGTAATAAAGAAGAGGTCCATCATTTTTCCATCCGGAGCAGTGGAAACCTTGACCCTTTTTATCGTTAGTTCTAGCTCACAAAGGACCTCGGTCACGTCTACATGGGAGAACATAATGAAGCATATCAATTGGCATGTAAAATAATATGCTTAACATTTCAAGCAAATGCCACAGACAAGATAGGCAATAATTTTTTTTTTTCTTTTTTTCGAGAAGAAACTGAGTTTTATTGAGAGAAAATGAAAGAATATAAGTAGGGCATGCAAAAGAGCACAGACCAGCCTATAAGAGGGACCCCAATTGAAAAGGACAACACCTAATTGATAGTTACATAAATCCTTCAAAACATACTTGCTAGGGGGAGTTAACCTAACAATTTCCCACACTACCTCCCAAGACCTCTCGATTCCCTAAAAATTCCAATCTTCCTCTCAAGCCAAACACTCCACCAAATAGCCAAAAAAACACCGCCACAACAGCCTTCCTCTACCCATCTACCCCAAAAGGGGGAAAGAGAAACACATCCTCTATCACTGCCCTAAGTTAGACATTATTCTTTTGGCTAGTGAAGATCTTTGACTAGGTAATAAGTTCTTTGACTAATAAATTGACAACATATAGGCAATAATAGGTAATAGATTATTGAAGATCGGTAATCAATTCATTATCAAAGAACTTAACCACAAGGAAACAACATCAAATATATGAAGATTCAGAAAAAATTATCATCCAGATCAATTATCCAAATTTTCAACAGCGGAACCAATACGAGAATTAATCTTGTAAAGACATTTGGCAGATTAATCAGGAAATTTTAGCCAGAGATGAACAATTAAGAGCATATATTGCAGGCACTTGTGGAACAAAAACCATGTTTAAGGTCTAATAATCCTTCAATCAACATACATGCAGCATCCACCCAATATAATTCAAAACTTCTTCCAAGAAAATGGAACTGTTATAGAAATAACAATACCATGTAATAGGCCTTTAGGATGAGAAGAACACCAAAATTTTAACAGGAAAACATCTGGAATTTTCTGTATCTCCTTTTCTTGCTGGTAAAAACGTATTCCCGTAGTGGAAAAATGGGAAGGGCAGACTTCCAACAGCCTCTTCTTCAACAGAGGCCATCTAGTAGTTGGCTTCCCCACCACCCAGAAAACTAAATAGCACCACTTCCCATCCGTCGATACATCTGCTCCAGAAAATACGTTTAAAGATCAACAAATCAAAGGGAAAACCATATCTCTACAGTTGTATTCTGAGAAAAATCAACCGATTCGCATCCAAATGGGAAAACCCATGTTGAGATATACCAAAATCAGTATAAATCTCAGAACCCACCAGGGTTTTGGAGAAATCTCGAAAAAAAACGATCTACTTATACAAGAATTCAAGTATGGAAGGAGTAGGCCTTACCTCCTCTTGAAATGCTTAACCCAAAAAGCAAAATGATCCTGCACAAATCGCATCCCAAACCAGTCTTATCGGGGCAATTTACAGTGATAACATGAGGATCCCCTGGCTTTTCTCCGGGAGTAATAACCACAGAATCCTCATACAGAATGCCCATTTTCTGCCCTTCTACTTCCCTACACTCTGGTTTCACCCCTTTGCTTCTTCTTCTTCTCCATAAGTGAGAAAATCAAATTGGGTATTCTGATTCTTCGATCCGCTGATCTCTTCGAATGTCTACTCAGCCAAATGGATTGGAGATGCCGTCGAGAAAAAGTAAGATCAGGGTCGGTAGAAGAAGATACCATTCGTTCGCTTTTGCTGTGCGTGTGCGCTTTTTCCCACTGGATTTTTCCTGGTGGGGGGTGATTTTGTCCGCCCTAATTTCTCTTTTTCGTCTCTCAAAATCAAAAATTTCCCTTTTCTGCGGAAGTTCTAAATCTTCTCGTACATTTTCGTATTCGCAGGGAGAGATTTTCGGGATTTTCTCTTTCTTTCTTCATGCTTACTCTCGCGGTAGTCGTGTGAATTGAATTTGAGATTTGAAATATTGCCTTAATCGCTTGAAAGTTGAAGACAAAATTGTGAACGTGGCTTCCAATCCT